GCGGGCGCGGGGGGCGGGGGGGGGGGGGGGGGGGCGGGGGGGGGGAGGGGGGGACATGGGCGGGCGAGAGCCAACGGTGGTGGTCGCGCGGCGGCCTCCGGCGGACGAATCCTACGCCCCCCGGGGCCGAGGGCCACCGGACGAGGCGGCGGGACGGGGGCCCCCGGGCCCGCCCGCCGCGCGGCCGGGCGGGCAGGGGGCGGGACGCGCGGCGTCGACAGCCTCCGCCCGTGAGGGGGGGCGCAGGCCCCGGGGCGTGAGCAAAGAGGGGGGAGGGAGGAGGAGAAGGGAGGACGGCGACAGCAGTGGAGGGCACATACGAGGGGGGAAAGGGGGCGGAGGGGGGGAGGAGAGAGGGGGGATACGAAGAGATCTGGCGCTACCCACACGGAAGGGGAGGCGGTGGGCATTTTTTTTGTGCGTATGCACAGGGCGACGGGGGGCGGCGAGGAGCAGCGAGCCATGTCTCCCCCCCCCGCCCCCCGGTTACCGGAGCCCACTCGACCCGGCCGGCAGGCACACGCAGAAGGCGCCTGCATGCCACAGTTCATTGGCACCTGGGACTTTGCAGGCTGCCTCCCGCCGGACCGGGCGCAGATGCACGGCGGCCGGGGGGGTGGGGGGTGGGGGGCGGAATGTGCGGTGCACACGGGCGCGGGCTTTCATCTTCTCGGGAGAGGGGGTGCGTGTATTGTTGGCCCTGGTCGGGTCTGGTGCGCGTGCGGATACTCACTCCCGCACTGGTCCCAAGGGGCATGGGCGAGGAAGGCAGGGTCTTGGGAGAGAAAGAGAGAGAGAGAGAAAGGGGGAGGCGAGAGGGCACACACACACACACGATCGGAGCACGTGCGGGCAGGCACAGGGCGCACTGCCGGCGCGCGACGTGCCTCAGGCATCCTGGGTGTAGGCGGCCTCCAGGCGATCGAGCTGCTCGGCCCGGACCCGGCGCGCCTTGGCCCGGAGGAAGGGCGACACGGTCTGGTAGACAATGGCGTCCGGGGTGTGGCCGTCGAGCTCGGGGCGCGAGCTGGCCGGCGGCACGGGCGCCGCGGCGGCCCAGTCCCGCGACAGGCGCACCCGGGTGGCGGCCATTGTCTCGTGCTGCACGGCCACCGGGCCGCAATCGTACACCACCTGGAGCAGGTCCCCCTCCACGGCGAGGGACTCGTCATCGACGCCCTCCGGGCCGGTGAACTCCTCGCGCGCATGCGTCACCGGCAGGTAGACCCCCTGCGCGGCGGCCGTCGGGTCCAGCCGAACGGCAAACGACCCGGGGAGGGAGATCTTGCCGGGCGCGTCGATCGGGGACTTCATCACCTCGCTGGGGCCCGGTGCAGGGAGGGGGAAGCATCCGCAGGAGACAGAGGCGGCGCGTCAGACGGGCGGGCGGGGGGGGGGGGCACAGGACAGAGTGCCGGCAGGTGTGGGACGCCTCCCCGCGGTCGGGCGGGCGGGCGAGCGAGCGGCTGTGACAGGAAGAGAGGGGCGGGGGCCGTACCGCGCGGCGCCCGACGGCAAGACCACGCGACAGAGCTTGGTGGCCAGGCTCAGCTCGTCGCGGTTGACCTTCTGCAGCAGGCCGGCGCCCATGCCGAAGGCGACATTCTGCGCGGCGAAGCCGGCCTCGGCCATGGCGTCCAGCAGCCGGCTGATGGCCGGCAGGGTGACCCCGTCGCCATGGATGACCGAGGCCCCGGTGATGACCTTGAAGCCGCGGGTGTTGATCGTGTAGCCGAACACCTTGGACATGATGCTGTGCGAGGGGCGGCGGGCGGGCCACCGAGGCAGGGGTGAGCGGTGAAGGGCGGGCGGGGACAAGAGAGGCGGGGGAGGCCATGGCACGGGGAGGCCCTCGGCCGCGGTCCTGGCCGTGACATGCCCACGCGCGGGCACACGCGCAAGGGGGAGAGAAGGAGAAAAGGAGGGGGCGATGCGCGGGCGGCATGGCGCGAGGCGTACTTCAGGGCGTCCATCACCACGGCCACGATGTCGCCGCTGTCCGGGCGCACAACCAGCCAGCCCCCGGCGCGGACCTTGGCCTCGGCCACGGCCGGCAGGAGCTCCCGCAGCGCGCGGCCATAGTCCAGGGAGTCCATGACCACGGCGAAGATGGAGCTGCCGAAGGTTTCGATCATGTGCAGCATGGCGGCCTGGGGGCATGCGGAGCAGGCCGGCAGCGGCCGGCGACGCGGGGGCACAGTCAGCACCGGCCGAGAAGCGCACAGGGCGGCAAGAAGAGGGGAAAGGCCCGCCGGGTGTCGCCGGCCGGGCGCGAGGCGCACCTTCTCCGTCTCGAAGGACGTCATGACCGAGTGCTCGGTGGCCGGGATGCTGACCCCGGCGAAGTGCCCATCATTGAGGGCATACTGGGCGAAGTAGGCGGCCGACACATTGTCGGTCCCCTCGAAGTTGAGCTTGGGTGGGGCGTGTCAGCATGGCGCGTCCGTGGCCGGGGGGCTCGTCGATGGGACAGGGGCAGGACAGCGGCGGGCCGGGTGGCGCGTGCGTGCGTGCGTGCGTGCATATCGGCGCGGGAACAGGGCGCCACCAGGGGGCCGCTCCGTACCAGGTGCGCGGTGCCCCCGATGATGGTCTGCTCGACGGAGGTGCACCCGCGGAAGCCGAAGTCGTGCAGGCGCGACGGGACCAGGGCCATGCTCTCCGGGTCGCAGGTCTTCTCGAAGGCCTGCTCGATGATGGTGCGGGCTTTGCGCGAGAGGGTGGCCACGGTGGAGGGATACTGTGCGGGGCGTTTGGCAGTCAGACCCCCGACGCGGAAGGGCAAGTGAAGCGGGGCCCCGAGCGAAGCCCCTGGCCTCGGCAGCCGGAGGCATGGTCACAGCAAGAGGGTGCCGCCCCCCCCCCCCCCCCCCCCCCCGGCGGGGGGCCGGGAACCCCCCCCCCCTTTGCGGCGGCAACGACGGCGGGGGCGGCG